TTCTTCTTTCTCTTTTTGAATCAAATTAACTAATGGTTTATCTGTTTTATTGTTTTTTCCCCATAGGACCAGATCCTACTTTATTATTTTAATGTGTTGCTCATTTTCAATTTTATTAACCTTTCCTTTGACTTTCAGGATTTTTAATTTCATATTTAATTGGAAATTTTTAACTTGTTTATTTTCTAGTTTTTCTTAGTTGCATGCTTTTTTTCATCTGCTATTTTTCTATTTTACTGATATAAAAGTCTAGAGATATAAAATTTCCCCTAATACTGCTTTGGCTGCATCTTATAAATGAAGTAATATGTTGGTATGTTGTCTCATTGTTGTCATTATCTTTAATGAAATTATTGATTGTTTCTATGATGTGTTCTTTGACCCACTTGCTCTTTAAGATTACATTATTAAGTTTCCAATTAATTTTAAATCCAGGTTTTTATGGCCCTTACTGAATGTAATTTTTGTTACATTACAATCCCAAAAGGATGCATTTAAAATTTCTGCATTTGGTTTGTGAAGTTTTTATGTCCTAAAATAGTCAATTTTTATGTAGGTGCCACATACCCCTGAGAAAAAAGAAACATATTCCTTTCTATTTCCATTTAATTTTCTCCAAAGGTCTATCATATCTAACTTTTCTAAAATTCTATTTACCTCCTTAACTTATTTCTTGTTTATTTTCTGGTTAGATTTATCTAGTTCTGAAAGGGGAAAGTTTAGATTCCCTACTGTTATAGTTTTACTATTTCCTCTTGTAATTTATTTAACTTTTCCTTTAAAGAATCAGAAGCTATATCATTTGGTACACATGTGTTTAGCATTGATATTACATCATTGTCTATGATATATTTTAACAAAATGTGGTTTCCCTCTTTATCTCTTTTAATTAGATCTATTTTTATTTTGCTTTGTCTGAGATCTTGATTGCTACCCCTGCTTTTTTTTCACTTCAGCTGATGCATAATAGATTATGTTTTAGCCTCTTACCTTTACTTTGAGTCTTTCTGCTTCAAGTGTGTTTCTTGTAAATAATATAGTGTAGGATTCTGATTTTTAAATCCCCTCTACTATCCACTTCCATTTTACAGCTGAGTTCATTCCATTAACATCCATAGATATGACTGTGTATTTTTCTCCATCCTATTTTCCCCCTCTTTATCCTTCTCTCTCTCTGACCACCACCTCACCTAATCTGCCCTTTCTTTTATCATCTTCTCTCACCCTCCACCCTTACTCCTCTGTACTCCTACTTACCTGTAGGGTAAAATGGATTTCTGTGTGTGCGTGTGTGTGTGTGTGTGTGTGTGTGTGTGTGATTACCTCTTTGAGTCAATTCTGATGAGATCAAGGTTCAAGCACTGCTTGCCATCATTTCAACCTCCTCCTCTCCTTGCACTTTCCCCTTCTTTGTAAAAGCTTCTCCTTTTGTGCCTCCTTTATGTGAAGTAATCTACCTCATTCTTCACCTCTCTTTACACTTCTCCCAGTATATCCCTCCTTCTCACCTCTTCATTTTATTTTTCTGAAATCAGCCCATCATAGTTATCTCACACTCATGACCTTTGTCTATGTATAATCCTTATAGGTACCTTAATAATGGTAACAATAATAGTTCTTAGGAGTCATATGTACCATCTTCCAATATAGGAACGAAACAGTTTAACCTTATTGCTTTATGACTTCTCTTTCATATTTACCTTTTTATGCATCTCTTGAGTCTTGTATTTTAAAGTCAAATTTTCTATTCTGCTCTCATCTTTTCACCAGGAATGCTTGAAAGTTCTTTATTTCATTAAATATCCATTTACCCCTGAAAGGATTATACTCAATTTTGCTGGGTAGGTAGTTCTTGGCTGTAGTCCTAGCTCCTCTGCCCTTTGGAATATCATATTCCAAGCCTTCTAATCCACTAGATATAGAAAGTGCCAAATCTTGTGTTATCCTGACTGTGGCTCCATGATATTGGAATTATTTCTTTTTTTTTGGTTGCTTGCCCTATTTTCTCCTTGACCTAGGAGCTCTGGAATTTGGTTATAATACTCCTGGAAGTTTTTATTTTGGGATGTCTTTCAGGAGGTGATCACTGGATTCTGTTAATTTCTTCTTTACCCTCTGGTTCTAGGATATCAGGGCAATTTTCCTTGATAACTTCTGGAAGGATTCTGTCCAGGTTCTTTTTTTTTTTTTTTGATCATGGCTTTCAGGTACTTCAACATTTCTTAAATTATCTTTCCTATTTTCCAGGTCAGCTGTTTTATCAATGAGACATTTCATGTTTTTTTCTATTTTTTTTCCATTCTTTTGTTTTTGTTTTATTGTTTCTTGATGTCTCACGGAGTTTTTAACTTCCACTTGCCCAACTCTAATTTTTATGGAATTATTTTCTTTAGTGAACTTTTATATCTCCTTTTCCATTTGGTCAATTCTATTTTTTAAGGAGTCCTTCTCTTCAGTGAATTTTTGTATATCCTTTTGCTTTTTAAGGCATTCTTAACTTCACTGGATTTTTGTGCCTCTTTTACCATTTAGAGTAGGCTAGTTTTTAAGATGTTATTTTCTTCAGTATTTTGTGTGTCTTTCTCCTTTAACAAGCTGTTGACGCTTTTCTTTTCATGATTTTCTTGTATCATTCTCATTTCTTTCCCCAATTTTTCCTCTACCTCTCTTACTTGATTTTAAAAATCTTTTTTAAGCTCTTCAGGAATTCTTTTTGGGCCTATAAGCAATTCACATTTTTTCCTTTGAAGATTTGCATGTAGCTGTTTTGACTACATTGGCTTCTAAGTTTCTGTCTTAATGTTCCCTGTCACCATAGTAACTTACTATGGTCAGGTTCTTTTTCTGTTGCTTGCTCATTTCCCGAGCCTATTTCTTAACTTTTAACTTTATCTTAACATTGGGCTCTGCTTTTGAGGTGGAAGAGGCACTGTCCCAAGCTTCTGGCCTTTCCTGATGCTATTTTCAGCACTAGCTCAAAAGAGATGTAGTCACTGCTATCCTGTCCTATGCTCTGGTCTTTACCCAGGAAGGGACCTTGTTCCCCCCCCCGTAGCCATCAGTGCTAGCACTCCTGGCCATGAGACTGTGACCAGGTCCCCTGCAAAGATGCAACTAACTGCTAGTCAATGGGCTGAGAACTTCCAAAGCTACTGCCACTGCCAATGCAATTACCCACAAGTCATGGCCTGTGCTGCCTCAGCTGCATTTTTGGAGCCAACCATTACCCCAGTGAGAAAGATCTATCCTGACAACCTAAGTTGTCTTGGACTGGAAAATTATTTCACCCCACCTTTTGTTAGTTCTGTCACTCTAGAATTCAGTTTAAGGAGTTTTTTTAGGGTTGTTTGGAGGGGAATTTGGAACAGTTCAATTGAGTGTTTGTCTACTCTGCTTCTCCTAGTCTCACTTTTTTATTTTCGGACAGGGTTACTGAATTAGCAAAAGACACAAACTCTGTAGATACAATTTACCTAGCCATTTGAAAACACTATTGATCAAGTTATTTCGCCATTCTTGTAAAAAAAAATGAAACTAGTGATCACATACAAATACACAGACACATACATACAAATGCAAGGGACAGATAACACAACAGATGACAGAGTATGAATACAAAAGGATCTTGACAGGATAGAGCATTGGGACAAATGTAATAAGAATAAAATCAAGAGAATTAATATGTAAAGTCTTATACTTTGTTACAACCAACAACAACAACATCAAGTATAAGATGAGGGATACATGGCTAGATAACAATACTTCTAAAAACAATCTGGAAGTGTGGAAGCTAAAAACTTTACTAAGATCTTGGGCTACATTCAGAAAGACCACTTCCAGGAACAGGGAGGCAAATTTCACTACACTCTGCCCTCATCAAACCTTATATTGAGTACTACGTGGGGTATGGAGGCCAAAACTGAAAAAGGGCATTGATGAGCTGGAGAGTGCCCAAAGAAAAGCAAAGAGGGTAGTGGAGAGGCTTTCATCCATATCACATAAGGATCACTGAAGGAAATGGGTATGTTTAACATGAAGAAGAGAAGATTCAAAGGCAAATGAGACCAATCTTCAAGAACTTAAAGGGCTGTCATATGTAGGTGGGACTAAAATCGTTACATTTGTCCCCAGAAGGCAGAACCGGGTACAATGGGTTAAAGTTGAAAAAAGATATTACTTCATCTAAACCAGACCCTTGATGATACGTGACAATCTCCGTGTTCTAACCCTTGATTTAATCTTTCATATTCAATAAAGTGGCTATTCCAAATTTTCTCTTATCTTCACAAGTTCCTATACAACCCCCTTGTTCCTTTTAGCAGAAGACCTGGCCTGCTCCTTTACTGGAAAAAAAAAAACCTAGATATTTTATTCTATGCTCTTTCTTCTCCACTACTCCATTTCCAAGTCTGAATCTTGTTCTTTCACTTACCAGTTTGATTAGCTGAGTTACCTGAGGAAGGCACTTTCTCTAAGTTTCAGTTTTGTCATCAAGAAAATGCTGAGGTTAGAATAGATCTTAGAGGGTTTTTTGTATCTCTAGATCTTCTCCTGAAGATCATAAATTCTACAATCCAATGATAGAAATTCAAATATCCTGAATTTCTTTATAAGTCACTTATTTGACTGATATTAGCCAAGGAGATATAAAATAAGTAATATGTATATGCTTATGAATACAGTGGCAGGATTTTCAAGAGAAAATGAATAAATAAATTTAATTAAATGGCATTTAACTAGTATAAACATAACTATTATACATTTGTTACATAAATATTAATATAAGTATTAAATAACAGTGATTAGACAGCTCGATTCATACTTTTTAACTATGAGAAAAAGGCATAAGGTATCTCTAGCACAGCATCTATCAATATTTTTAATAGGATTCAAAATTAATGAGGCCCATTTTTTTGTTTCTCCTACTACTTACCAGTCCTCATATCACATAACCCACCCCAAACAGTACAAAAAATATACTGATATTTAAGTCTACTCACCCGCACAGCCAAAAGCCAAATGGTACCTAGAAGAAGGGCTGAATTTGACACAACACACATTTGCCTTGGCTTCAATACTCGCCACTGAATTGTCCAGGTTGGTAGACCACAGTTTCACTAAAGGCAGGGAGAATACAAAAGGGAGAACAAAAAAGTTAGATTAATACATTTAGAAATGCTTTTACAACCTGGAAAATCTGAATACTGCTACCAATAGATCTTTGTGGGAACTAAAAACAGTTTATAATTATAGGACCAGATGTGTTTAAATTGAATGAATGCAAAAAATCTCCCCAAAACAGCATGTTTGAACAAAACTACACCTTATTTTTATTGTCAGAGTCACAAGAGATGAACAATCAATGGATATTAAAAGACAGATCTGCTATCTCACTATAGATGAGAATGAACTGAAGAAGATGCTAAGAACATTTCTTACTATATCACTCTATTTAGAATCCCATAGATTTTAGACTTTATTACAGAAAGCTGGATAAGTAATTTCAATATACTTAAAGCTAGGTGACTGAAATTTATTTTTCCAAGATAAAAAAATTTAATGTATTCTTTGCAAGGGTAAATCCTGAGATTTTTAGGCCCAGAAGAGTCATAAATATTAGAGCAGAAGAAGACAAGTCAATCCAGGCTGAACTGATATGGCAAATGCAAAAAGTGGTGAAAATGGGAAAGGGGAGGTGTGAGAAGAGTAAAGTATTGAATTAAACTAAATCAGGCAAAATAGTCAGTGCTTATAACAGAAAAATTTCTTCCCCTTTCTTTGATAGTTATAGTTTGTACTCTCAGTCATCTAGAAGGACATTCTGCCTGCTTTTTATTGGTCACATCCACACCACAGTTATTTTCTCTGCTAAAATTTTATAATGTTAAAGTAAGAAAGAAAACTATTAGCCTAAGTAAAGTAATATTAGCAAGAGGAACTTAGAAGTAATATTTCCTGATGAATTATTTTGGGAACTACACTGTGTAACTTACTCCTTTTACTATAATAGTGTGAGGTAAAAAATAGATTACATAAAATAACTATGCTGTATGCATTCGGAAATAAATAGGATACATTAGTAAGGAATTTCCACAATAAAAGCATAAATGACCTCTAACAGATATAAATTATTAATTTTTTTCTAGGTAAATCTCCTCCTAAAAAACAATGATACAAAAATCACTAGATTTGGAGCAAGAAAATCTTGGTTTGAATTTTGGCTTTTTTACTCTCATGTGACTGGTCAAACTTGTTAAGTTCTTTGGATTTCAGTATCCTTATTTTTAAAAAAGTAGAAGGGGATGGCATTCTAGATGATTCCTGAGGTCTCTTACATCTTTAAATGGTTATTCTAATAAAAAGAAAATTCAGTTATAAATATATTATTAGTAAAAAGAACTTCCCTTTTAAGTTCTAGTTATATGACACCTTAAAGTTAAGTATCAGTGACTAAACACAATGTCAATTTTTAAAAAAGAAAACCAATCCTCAAATACTGATAGAAATTAATATTATACTATTATATTAATAATTAATTATTAATGGTGATCCACTCTTTTTCCTTTCTCTTCTCTGCCCAACTCCTGTTAAAGTCAGTCAGTCTCTGAAGGGCATAACTATTGATGAAGTTGCTTCTAGCTCTCAAGGAACATGCTAGTCGATTTTGGGTGGAACCCTACCCAACTAGGAGACCTAATTTTTGTTCAGAGTATAAATGATGATATTAGAAGAACAGATTTGGGAGTATTAAAAGCAAAGACTGAGACAGGTTAAAATGAAATGCTGATGAGACACTTAAATAGAAATTATCTGTAAGGTAGTTGGTTAATGGGAATGGTATTCATGGTGAGATCAAAGCTATAGATATGAGTACTATAGATTACAGAAAGGAACGAATTGCCTGAGAAACCCAGTATCCTGAACTTGCTGTATTCTACTGTTCATTCTACATGAAATGCCAACACAGTGTATAGTAAAACGAGCATTTAACTGAGATGTAGATGATTTGGGTTTTAGTTCTGGACTGTTACTACCTCACTATTTGGCCTTGGACAAGTACATTCAATTCTTTAAGCATCACAGTACATAAAAGAGATTCAAAGTAGTCAATAAGCAACTGCTATGTGCCAGGCACAATGCTACGCTCTTAGGGACACAAAAGGAAAAGTAGTCCCTTCCCTCAAGAAACTTACAGTTTAATGAGGTAAACAACATAAATAACTAAGTACATCACAAAACATGTAAAGGGTTAATTTAAAGTAATTTCAAATGGAAGACACTAGCATTAAGGGGGGATAAGTGAGGTTTTCTCATCTGTAAAATGAGAAGTTTCCAGTTTATGATAGCTGCAGTTCCTTCTATGATCACAATGTTAAAAAAATTTTCAAAAAGTAAACCTAACAAAAAATAGCTGTGTAAAAACGGTAGGTCTTTTAAAAAAATCAGTTTAACTTTTCAGTACAAGATGATAATTGAAACACAATGTGCTTCAAAACTAAATTCTCAAGTTTGAAAATATCTGGCAGACAACAAAGAAACTATCTGAGATTAAAGAGAAACAAAATGAGTAATATTAAATTAGCTAAAGAGATATGTTCAGAAGAAATAGGAACAGAGACAGGTAAAGATATGCTATGGTACAGTGAATTATGGGGGGAAGTCTGTAAGGAATTTAGAGAAGGATGATGATGATAATGATGATGATGATAACAGCAACAACTCACATTTATATAGCTTACTCTGTGACAGGACCCATTCTCAGAGCTTTACAATTACTATCTGGGTTGAGCCTTACAATAACCCTGAGGGGCACAAGAATGAGGAATCAGGTGATAAGAGGTATGGATAGGGATTTGGATGATAATCCACAAGAGTTCATTGACACTGGAATGTGCAGGGTATTATCAGGTGTGAAAATGTTCATCAGTGAGTAGAGGGCACCACTCCTCTAACCTCAAAGAACAGGCACAGGAAGAGATGAGATGCCAGCTGTTCTCATCTGGTAGGCTATTAAGTAGCTAAGGTAAGTTAAAATAATTAATGAGAACATATTTACATGTGGTATTCATATAATTACATGAAACTTCAACCACAACGACATCTAAGAAATCTTATTAATTATAAAAGTTGATTGTTTTATGTTGTTTTAAACATCAATTTATCCAAATATATTGATACTGTTAAGGAAACTTCTTTCAAGACCTTACTACCTAGTAAGCAATTAATCAGTTTGCAGAGTCATACGGAAATATCTCTGATTAACATCCTACATGTATTTTTTTTTTCGGTTGGACATTCACACAGCTAGTAAGTGTTATGTATCTGAGGCTGGATTTAAACTCAGGTCATCCTGAATCCAGGGCCGGTGATCTCTCCACTGCACCACCTAGTTGCCCCGCTACATGTACTCTTAAGTGCCAACCATTCTTTCCCCTAATGTCCTCATACACTTCTGTTTAAACCGTGTAACTGAGTTATTGTGTGCCTTTGCAAAAAGATGATTTCTAACTTTATATTCAAGACTATAGGAGAGAACCATTTCCAACATACGATAAGACCATTTCATTTTTCAGTTCCTTTCACTCTTACGAGCTCTCTTTTCATCTCACGCTGGACTTTTTTTTCCTAATTGTTTGAACTGTCAATTGCTGTTGGTAATCAGGTGTTTCTTCAAAATTCAACTTCCACTATATAACAATAACTTTTGATGTATTTCTTTATACTAAGCTAGGAATTTCCCCGTATAATCCATATGCTTGATACTATTCATTAAACACTCCTTTCTTAAGAAAAAATGGGGTGATAATTTAACGGCATCACTATGTCTGGCACTCTGGCGGACAGTGCCAAACGAACTAACACTCATCAACTCTTGGGTATATCAGAATCATTAGCCAAATTTTTTTAGCTTATAAATTTCTGGTTTTTTTTTAATCAGTCACAGGCTGTTAGCTTCTTAACATGCAAATACATGCATATAATACCTGAAAGATAATGCACAGCATGAATGGAGAACTGGATGATGAAAAGGTTGATTGTTTATATAGAGACTTACAACACTTAATTGTATAAGAAATAGTCATGAACCTAATAAGAATTAAAAAGTAAAACAGAACCTATTAAAAGCAATTTAAAATATCCCTGTAATATGAAATTTTCACAAAGGCAGCATTTTGTAGGGAAAATTACCAATTACCCTATGAATATCAAACACATTTAAGCAACATTAAATGCCTTTCATTTGAAATGAGTTTTAAAAACATTTTAGGGGACAGCAGATTGTAGAGTTTAAATATTTCATGAAAATTTAATTTGTCATTCCAGAGCAATCATTAATAGCTTTGACTGCTAAGCTATTTGTGCATATAAGAAGGTTTTTTCTTGGTGGTTATAGAAATAGTTTTAACTCTCACAGCTACTTAAACAGCTCACTTTTAACTTACAACTAAGGGCATGTAAAGATTCCTCTCTGTTCTTGGAGGTGGAACAATATGAAACGAAAGTGCATTGGCATTAAGGGACTGCCATTTCTTAGCAAGCAATATCGCTGGATTTATTTTGTTCATATGAACCAATGTCCAATCAAATTTACTTAAGATCTAAGATTTATAATTAAGTCACCTAACAGATAAAGAAATATGACATTGCTCACTTTTAAAACTCTAGGGCCAGTCAAATAAATATAAATTGGGTATGTTTTTATTAACTTGAAAATATCATTTTGCCTCTCAAATACTACTGCTCATAATATGAGGCTTTATAATCAGTGGAAACAAAGATTCCATATAATAGGAATGGTTTTAAAGGTTAAAAGTGACTGTCCAAATTACTTTGGTAAACTGTTACCTTTACTGAATACTGATCAAAATAAAATGGACAATTGGTTGGAAGAGAGACATACTTTGAAAGAGCAGAAAGATAAATGGATTGGGAGGTAAAAGACCCCAGTTTGTTAGTATATTTACCCCTTACTAGTCATATAATCTGGATAAAGTCACTTCTACCTTTCTGGACCACAGTCTCCCTATCTGTAAAAATACTATTTAATACACGTGACTTTACACATGTAATTTAATTTAGCTGGATTTCAATTTTAACTATATGATCTATCCAGTCC